TGGTGTTTATGGTCACTGGTGTTTATGGTCACTGATAACAGGTCAGGGTCTGAAGGAGTTGGGAGCTGAATATAACATATGGTGTTTAGCGTCACTGGGAATTGGAAATGGATGTAATGGAAACTTTTCTAGCATGGAAATGAGATTTATTTTATTCTGGATAAAAGTCATCAAATTCTGACAAAGTTTTTACATACATATCATAATTTTAGTTATAACAAAAATAAGCTGAAACACTGACTATTTTAAATTCCAGCATGATAACTTTTTATTTTGTGGGGGAGTGGGGCGGGGGGCCTGTTATCTGTGAGTGCTAGAACTTGTGCACTTGTGCATTGTGTGTGCTGTCACATTAGCATCGTTTCAGTAAGAAGTTCAAGAAGCCTTGTTTAATAAATGGACACAAGTTATGTAACAGGGAATGGTAATGGTTACCTTGCAGCATACAGTAGTGACTCTAGCTGCTTTGTTTTGCCCTCATGAAGATGTCTTATTTTATCCTTATCATGAAAAGGAAAACCAGTCAGTACCTTCCAAACATTTTTATGAAACAACAACTTTTACAGTAAGTCTTAATCAGATTAACCTACAGAATAATGCAATTCTGATGCATGGCACCATTGAGTTTATCAACGAGACTATGAATAACAAATATTTATTGTTGTATGACTATTTGGATTAACCGAAACACTTGTGAAAGTATTTTTAGTTTGAATATTTTTATTGCACTTCTCATTTCAAGAGTTTCAAGATACAGTATTTTCACCTTGTCTAGATATCATAAATAATTAGTGCTGAAAAATAAAAGCATTTGAAAACTCACCACTTCATCTTCCATTTTCATCACAAACTTTCTTTCTTTTGGAGAGAGAAAGAGCTAAAAAATCACACACATCACACACAAAATTAATAATTTTCATTAGAACTTGATAGTCTGTTGCTTGTGAGGCTAACAAGCAGTCATAAAATAAATTCAAGCAGCAGGCTTTAACTTATAAACAGTAACTGGTTTTCCATGTCATGTGCTGGAAAACATGTGAGATGGCAGAACTTTATATAGAAACAATTGTATTGTTTCTGCCATCCAACATGGCTGTTGTCCAGTGTCATTTTATCCTGCAAAACGTTTGTTTAAAATTTTTTTAGTTTTTATTAAGGAGGTAAATTATGCACCCTTCACTCCCTCTCTCCAGAAGTGCTATACTTTTAGGGTACTAAAGCTTTAAAGGCTATGTGGATTGGAGATATATTGAAATGTGTGTATCAAATTCACCAATGACTGAGCTATGGACCCTATGCCTTGTCAAGCACTGGTTAACTTAACGACACGTGACCCTAAAAATATACTTAGTGTACCTGATCATCCATAGATTTAGCTGTACTTCTACTTCCATCCATTTCTACAGGAAACCATTCAGTTGTTTCATCATTTTTTGAGTTTGTTCCTTGTCCAATATTTAGCAATCCTTCCCTATTTCTATCTTCTTCCTCTCCATTATCATCTGCAATATAGTCGTRTGGGTCGTTGTATGTGGTGCGTCTTGTTCCTTCAAGGTCCTAAGACCAATACTTGAATTTTAGAGTCATATTTAACGATTATTCACCAAAGGCAAAGTGAATAACGGTGGATATTGTGAGTCTTTGAGCTGCAATGAGTTTCATACTGCAGTTTGTATTAAAAGCCTATTAAAAGCAGTTACAGTAAAAACCCGCGTATAAGAACCTAGGTTTTTTCAAGTTA